TGATATCTGTCAGGAAAAAGAGACCATTCTGAAATTTACTGAAACATGCAAACTGATCAATGATCCAACTCCCCTAATTGATACTAGCAATAACACAGAAATAAGACTCATGATAAACAGACAGTGACCTAATTCACCCAGCTGAAGGACACGATCAGTAATATCACAGTATTATTAACAGTAGGGAAGGAAATCGGCAGTGACCCTCATAATCGATATTTTATCAGTATACGTTTGCCGATTCAGAATTTATTACTATTATCAATGAGATTTTGCTGAAGAGCATTTCAGGTCTACATTTAAAGTAAAGACAAGGGCTGTAGCGATACACGTATTCATCATGTGCCTTTCGATTTCAGCATTTGTTTAGAACACAAAATGAAACAAATTAATGAATTTCTTGACATGTGAAATCTAAATTCACAAGTTGATGTTCGACATGGAAAACATTACGCTAAATGTGGCTTTGAATTGGATACTGTTAGGACTAGGGAGCTCAAAGCTCCTCCCACATCACATAAATCAGTAGTTTGGGAACATTTTGGCTCCCAATAAATTATGGCAACACCAGAGAGAGAGAATGATTAGTTGATAATACTACAATGGCTGTTGACTCTGTTGTATCGCACTTGGATATTTTTCTGGAAACACATCCAACATGCTAACTCATTTTAGACGATATCATCAAAGTATGTAGTTTTGCCAGGAAATTCAGAGGAGACTAAAAAAAGTTTTTATCAACTGGCAACAAATCAATGTTCAGTTACAGGCATGAGTAGGTCCGACTACATCCTGACATACACCTGCAGAGTCTATAATAGCAGCAAACGTTGTTGTTAAAGGATCACTGTCATTCTCCATGTGAATATTAAAATCACCAACAATCACGGCTTTGTCAGTAATGATCACCAGGATTGTTGAGACCAGAACAACAAAGAGATGAGTCAGCAAGACTAAGAACAAGAATTTCAAATGTGCTAAAGCTATAAGCACCTTTTATGTACTTTACCGGTTTGTAGCGCTTCGCTCGCTTAGCTGCTACGCGTTAGTACCAAGCAAACTGCATCGAGTTCTAACTAACATCTCCAATCACATCTTCCATTGACTCCGTGAAGATCACAGCATCCCCAGAAAAGTCAAGATCTGTGAATCTTTCTTGACCAACAAATGCCCCACACCTGCTGGACCCCATGACCCTAACCCAACACCCAGTCCAAACAGGCACTGAACAGAGTAGGAGCAAGAACACACCACTGGCGAACCCTAGAATCTGACTTTTCCGGGGGTGAAGCTCCCGGAGGCTTTCGCCCACCCCCCTCATAATGCATGCAGCTTTAATGTGGGCGGCTGCAGCACAGCTACTCCTGGGGAGAGCAGATAGGAGTCCCATCTCCTTAGTCGGAGCTGTATGGAGTTTTTACGGTGCCAATCCTGCCACCAACCCTCAGATTTTTTCTTGAAGGTTGGAGGACTGCTTGCAGATGCAGTTTAACATCATACCTGTAAGGCTGGTTCCCCTACATACCCAAGACACCAACACCATACCCAGCACATAGCTGATGGATACTATCAGTAATATCACAGTATTAACAGACTCACATTAGACAGACAGTGACCTAACTCACCCAGTTGATGGACACTAGCAGTAATATCACAGTATTAACAGACTCACAGTGGACAGACAATGACCTAACTCACCCAGCTGATGGACACTAGCAGTAATATTACAGTATTAACAAACTCACAGTGGACAGAGAGTGACCTAACTCACCCAGTTGATGGACACTAGCAGTAATATCACAGTATTAACAGACTCACAGTGGACAGAGAGTGACCTAACTCACCCAGTTGATGGACACTAGCAGTAATATCACAGTATTAACAGACTTACAGAGTACAGACAGTGACCTAACTCACCCAGCTGATGGACACTAGCAGTAATATCACAGTATTAACAGACTTACACTGGACAGCCAGCGCTATGAGGGCCGTCAGCAGCAGGAGACACAGCAGCCCCAGACCTGGTACAGCCAGTCTGTGGACGGGTCTCTCTGCAGACAGAGATCCTGGGGACAGACATGCTTTCACATTGAGTAAAGGAATTGTGTTACTTAACGTTTTAATGATAAAGACTGATGTTTGCCAGCATGTTTCACTGGGAGAATTGAGCCATCTTTGACAATAAGGAAAATATTGGTTTGTAGTCAGCACCTTCCATAAAATGCTGTTTAAGTTAAATCAATATTCTGCCACAAAGTTTCAGAAACTGTTAAGGCCATGACCACAGTTAATTTCTCAGTTCTCTATCCATCCATCCCTCCATTTTCTGAAACCGTTTAATTCCAACCGGGGTCGTGGGGGGACTGGAGCCAATCCTGGGAAAAATGGGCGCAGGTGGGAACCAGCCCTGGGCAGGTGCCAACACACCGCAGGGTGCACACACTCACACAACTACAGGGCCAATTTAGACTCACCAATCAGCTTATCCTGCACGCTTTTGGACCGTGGGAGGAAACCGGAGCCCCTAGCGAAAACCCACGCGAACATGGGAAGCCGCCCCCTCTCAGTTCTCTATTTTTTTACCTTTTTTTTTTTCAGAGATGATTTATCTGGCTGCTTCACTTATTTTGATAACTGTAGTTTAACTACAGAATAATCTCATCTGAAAGGTTGTTATATCTTCATTTAAATATCCTGCCTTTATTCCCTTTGTCACTCATTTAAAATATATTATTAGCACACTGATGCAGAAAGTTTGTCATGAAGCAGTTTACACCTGAATTTTCTAGAAGGAATAAAAAGACACAAACGCAAATTGCCAACATGGGAAAAAAACAAATTTATTCTGCGTTCAATTTTTAAGAAAAATACCATATCTGTTAATGCCTTTGTGATTGTATATGTTATATTGTCTGTCTGGCAGCATGTGTTGTTTCATCTGAATGCGTGTCTCAGTGCCCGTTTGACTGTGTGAGCTTCATGCGTTCTGACCTGGGCCTTGCGTTCCTCTCCTCCGCTTCTGTATCTCGTCCATGGTGTTGCCTACATTGACGTAAATGTTCTCCTCTGTCTCCATGTCTGTGACCCCAAAGTTCAGTATGTATGCGGAGCCTCTGTGTGTCTCTCTTGTTCCTTTTTGTACTGTAACTGTGAAGCGGAAAACCTCCTGAGACCTTACAAGGAAATGATGAAGATTCAGCGAATTGATCTTTGTGTTTTTGCATGGTTTCTCTTAAAGAGATATATGCTTAAAATATTGTTTAAAACACTAGAAATATTTTATGGAGTGATGAGCCTCACACCTCTAGGGCTGAGGTTGCGAATCCCACCTCTTCTGTGTGTGTGTGTGTGTGTGTGTGTGTGTGTGTGTGTGGATTATGTTTATATTACATTGGGGGGACCAAACCCTACGCTAAACCTAACCTGTTATTTGGATGTTTTGGGGACAAAGTTGTATTATAATGTTTAGTAAACATCAGAAATCAAGCCATGAGCTGAGGCGTGCTTCACAAAGCAGGATTTCTTGCTTAGCCAGATTTAAGGTAGTCTGTGCTAAATGGACTTTATTTTCATTCACTCACATTTAGCCCAGGCTACCTTAAATCTGAGAAATTACCATGTGACCACAATATGTCAGTGTGTTAAAAATGCGTCGCTGAAAATGTAGCTGACAAGTTGTAGCTGTGACTCCCATGGCACTTTTTCACTGCCACCAAGAACTGAGTCATACCCGAGTGACACTGTGAAGAGACAGTTTTCTGTTGCACATTATATGAGCCATACATGACCCATATACACACCAACATGACCCCTTTTTATTATCTTCTCCTTCTAAAGCGACCTTTGGTTTGCAGGATGTGTCACGATCAGCTCCAAATGATCCTCGTGTGTGCCACACCCCCTCATTACCTCACGTCAATTCCTGATTGTTCCCACCTGTGTCTAGTTAATTCCAGCCTGTCCTGTGCACTTAGTCCGCGTCCGAGTCCAGTCCCGTCAGATCTGTCATTGACGTTAGTTGTGTGGTGTTGCCCTGTCCGTTACTGTCTACGTTTTGTCCGTCTAACCGGCTCCTCTCGACTTCCTGCCCGTCCGCCTACCACGCAACGTGACAGGATGCTATATAGGAGTTATATAAATGTAACATTATTATTATTATTATTATTATACTAGCAGGACCAAAAGCATGATTAATGATGGGTTCCTTTTGCCTTCGGGACTCCGCAAATTACCTATCACCTATCCCTGGGAGCCTCTGCATCGCTGCCTGTACTCTTTCCTCTGCACCCAGCCTCCTCTCGGTGTCTGAGCCTCTCGTCCCCAGTCCGCGGTGGTTTTTCTACAACCCGCTCCTAGACCCACTTAGTGAGAGTGATTTGGAGAAGCCCGAGGGGGATGAGTTGCCCCACCTATATGGATGCTGTACTGGGCTCACCCACCTCAGAGACGACACACCTAAGCTGATTCCTCCAGAATGATGTGAAACCGCTCTGCTCACTGCTTCCACCTGACATGAAGCTCACAGCTTCCTTGCAGCTCTCCGCTTCCTTGGGACCTATGCAGTAGAATGAACTTCTCCTAAATGTCCGAAGAGCTGAGTCATAGGGGCAGTCGTCAAACGATCTTGGGTGTCATCAAATCTCTTTTGGAAATACTTGGATTAGCACTTCCAGATGCTCTGGCTAAGGGCATAATTATATGGCACAGTGTAATTATATGGAAATGTTTATAGACTGATGTTCAGTTCCTTAGTGCACTTCATACAAAGCAGCAGTATGTGATGAAACAGCTGGGGGACCCAGGATCTGGTGACAAAGCAGACAGATATCCGAGATGAGAAGCAGAAGCCAGAGACCTAGAGGGTCGGTCCTGGGGGTGCAGGGGAGGCTGGCACTCTTGCGTACAGGGCAGAGTGGAGAGAAAAAGGGTTTGGTCTCATGCTCACGGTGTCGAGGATCGGGAGTCTGACTCACACTGAACCACACAGCCAGGAACCCAGGGAAAAACAGCCATCAAGAACACTCAGTAGTTCTGCACAAGATCAACAATTCCTCACATAGAGGGAACTGGCTAGATCCATTAAGTAGATAGGGCGATTAGACAAAATCAAAAGTGGAATGCGAAACAGCTATTAGAACACCAGTGAAGGAGAGCAGTTGTGAGGTCGTGGCTGCAGTGAGGGGGTGTGGCTGTAATAAGTGGGCGTGGCTGTAATAAGTGGGGTGTGGCTGTGGTGAGGGAATGTGGCTGTAATACAGAGGTGTGGCTGTAATAAGGGGATGTGGCTGCAGTGAGGGGTGTGGTCAAAGTGAGGGGTGTGGCTGTAATAAGGGGGTGTGGCTGCAGTGAGGGGTGTGGCTGTATTACAGGGGTGTGGGTGCAGTAAGGGGATGTGGCTGTAATACTGGGGTGTGGCTGTAATAAGGGGATGTGGCTAAAGTGAAGGGTGTGGCTGCAGTGAGGGAATGTGGCTGTAATACAGGGGTGTGGCTGTAATAAGGGAATGTGGCTGTAATACAGAGGTGTGGCTGTAATAATGGAATGTGGCTGCAGTGAGGGGGTATGGTTAAAGTGAGGGGTGTGGCTATAAAAAGGGGGTGTTGCTAAAGTGAGGGGTGTGGCTGCAGTGAGGGGTGTGGCTGTAATACAGGGGTGTGGGTGCAGTAAGGGGATGTGGCTGCAGTGAGGGGTGTGGCTGTAATACAGGGGTATGGATGCAGTAAGGGGATGTGGCTGCAGTGAGGGGTGTGGCTGTAATAAGGAGATGTGGCTGCGGTGAGGGAATGTGGCTGTAATACAGGAGTGTGGTTGTAATAAGGGGATGAGGGTGCAGTGAAGGGGTGTGGCTAAAGTGAGGGGTGTGACTGTGGTGAGGGAATGTGGCTGTAATACAGGAGTGTGGTTGTAATAAGGGGATGAGGGTGCAGTGAGGGGGTGTGGCTAAAGTGAGGGGTGTGGCTGCGGTGAGGGAATGTGGCTGTAATACAGGGGTGTGGCTGTAATAAGGGGATGAGGCTGCAGTGAGGGGGTGTGGCTAAAGTGAGGGGTGTGGCTGCGGTGAGGGAATGTGGCTGTAATACAGGGGTGCGGCTGTAATAAGGGGATGAGGCTGCAGTGAGGGGGGTGTGGCTAAAGTGAGGGGTGTGACTGCAGTGAGGGGGTGGAATTCTTCCTCATACACTATCAACAGTAAACAGTAAGCCTAAAAAGTCTTGTGTACTGAGGAACTTATCCCACAAAAAAGGGAAGTATAGTTCTTTTTCTGAGATTTTGCAGTAGATATGAAGAAGTATGTGATTTCCAGTCAGCCAGTTCATGGTGTGTAATGGTGCCAAATTTAAGAGCAAAAACTACTGGACATTGGTGGTGATTTTTCTTTATAAATGAGGATAATGTATTTTTAAAACATTATAAATGACAAGGTGCTTGTTCCTCGTTGGTTATAATATCTTACCAAACGTTGGGGGGGGTACTGGCCACACAAAGGCGTCTGCTTGGAAAAGCCCAACAGGGTTCAAAGTAGCACTGGGTTTGTGTCAACACAAGATTTCCTGCCCAGAATCTTGTACATCAATCTGATGAGTCATTTCCTCTGTGCACTCAAATATCTCCATCGCTGTGTTTCATCGGAAAACACAAGGAAACAGACAGACTTTAGCATTAAATAATTAGTTGGCTGATGTCTCACCCTGTATTATTATGTGTAATGGACAGTCCTCAGTTTGCTAGAGCCACAGTATTCTGAGTCTTAGAGGTCAGTGCATCTTACCTTTTAATTATAAACTTAACTTAGTTATTTTGTTGCATGTTTGTCAGTGTGTCTGAATTTAATTTTCCCCTGCTTGGTTGTGTCTGGGTGTGGATTGAAATACCCCCACTGTGACCCCCACTACAGACATGGGCAGATTTATCGGTACCCTTCCACAAAAGAAAAAAGACTCTCTCTGAAATACTGTAACTTGAAACTGACAGAAGTTAAACGGCATCCCTTATTGTTTATTCCATATTTAATACAAATCAGACTTTGGTTTTGATTGATTCAGCTGAATATTTTATATAATTAAACAAATGAAAATGGCTCAGACAAAAAAGATGGTACCCTTAGTTTAATATGTAACAAGCGATCTCTGTACTTCACCATGAGACGTCTGCATATGCCAGCAAGTAGTTTGGCCCACTCTTCCTGAGCAAACTGCTCAAGCTGTCTCAGGTTTGGTGGGTGGTGTCTCCACACTGCAATTTTCAGATCTTTCCACAGATGTTCAATAGGACTAAGATCTGAGCTCATGGAGGGCCATTTAAGAATAGTCCAATGTTTTCTCAGCCATTCCTGAGTGCTTTTAGCTGTATGTTTTGGGTTATCGTCCTGTTGGGGGACCCATGACCTGCGACTCAGACTGAGCTTCCTGACACTGAGCAGTATGTTTCACTCCAGGATGCTTGGTAGTCTTGAGACTTCATTGTGCCCTGCACAGATTCAAGGTTCCCTGTGCCAGATGCAGCAAAGCAGCCCCAAACCAAACCGAGCCCCCTTCTATGTTTCACAATAAGCATGGTGTTCCTTTCTTTCAAAGCTTCATTTTTCCTTCTGTAAACACAGAGCTGATGTGACAGGCCAAAAAGCTCCAGTTTTGTCTCACCAGTCCAAAGGACATTCTCCAAGAAACTTAGAGGTTTGTGATGTAATTCTGCTCTGACTTTATGTTTTCTGTCAGTAGTGGAGCCTCCTTGGTCTCCTTCCATGGAGCCCATCATTGTTCAAAATGTGACGGATGGTGCGATCAGAAAGTGACGTATCTTGACCTTGGAGCTCAGCTTGAATGGTTTTGGATGGTTTCCTTTGCTCTTTTTCTACCAACAGGGCAGAGTTTTCCAGATCGACAGCTGGGGTGGTATCGGACTCAGTCGGGCTTCTTCATTCTCTGCCTCTCGCAATGGGAGCAGGGAGAGGGCGTCAGTGTGTCCCTGGGTGAATCAGAGGTGAATATTGGAGATTGTGGTAAAGGATCCCTAACCCTAGGGGTTGAGGGATGTCCACAGTTGAGGGTTCTCATCCTTCCCTCTAGGGTAAGCAAAGCACTCGCCCAGCACTCCACCTCGCAGGCGTCAGATTCCAGAGTGAGCTCCCCGGCCAACCCCCAGCTGAACAAGCCGGACCCTCTGAGCACCCAGATTCTTCAGCAGGCACTGGTACCCACTCTGGAGGGCAGGCGAGATAAGAGCGGGGGACCGTGTCTGGATCACGGCAGAAAGTAAAAACACACACACACTCCGATGTGGAGCTCGAAAGGCTCCAGGGGATGGTCATTAGGCCATTTGAGGAGTTCTATCATTCTGTCATGTGCAAGCAGAAGGGAGGACACAG